GAGAATAAGAGCTTAGTTGAAATGGTTAAAAATTTTACTATTCATAATAAATTTATACATACCCAAAATTAGTAAAAAACAAGTTCTTACTTATTTTTACTTAAAATAAATCAATCCTAATTGTATTAACATCAAATATTATTTAATATATTTTTAAAGTATAATTAAAACATTTAATTAAAAACTTAAAATTTTTAATAAAAATTCTTTAAAAAATTAGAATGTTATTTTAATAATTCATTTTAACAATAGTTTTCTTCTTCCAAAATAATCTCCATGTAAGAAATATAGTAATAAGATAAAGTATAAAACAACCCATAAATATAAATTCTATTCTAATCTCTTCATCAGGAGGAGAAAAATCTTTCTTATTATCATCTTTTAAAAGCTGTTTAAAGCGATTTAATAAATCATCTCTTTCGTAATAAATGATTGAGATAAAAAGACTTAAAATAATACTATAAAAAACAGATAGAATTAAATTAACTAGAATATCTCGAACAAGCTTTACATATGAGGATAGAATGAATAAGATAGTAAAACTTATTAAATTAAAAATATCCCAATCAGTGATTTTAAGACATGTACACATTCCTTTTTCTTCATCATCATAAAAGGATTTAAAACATGTTTTTAAACTTAAAATTGTTAAAACTAAGAATATCAAAGTCTTATCAATGCTTATTAACCTATTTGAAAAGATAAAAATTATTATGTAGATTGTTAATTCTACACAAGAAGAAATTATTAATATAGAATCTTCTAAAATAACACCTAACATGTTGAAAAAGATGTTTAAAATCATTATTTTAAAGAAATCTTTGTCTTCTACATTACTTTTTATTTCATTTTCATTCGTTAAAATATCAATGAAACGCTTTGTTCCTTTATTTTTAAAAAATTTTTTTATTTTAAAATCAGCAATTAAAAATAAAATAAAATAACATAATTCTAAAATTAAAAATACTCCCGTTATTGATATAACAATACTTCTAATGCGGTTATTTGATGCAAATAATCCAATTACAATACAAAATAATATAATCACAAAGAGAAGAAAGTAAATTATTTTAAACAATTCTATTTCCTCATCATTTTTAATAGTATTGTCAATAATTATTAAAATAAATGTTATTTCAAAATAAAATATACCACAAAATTGCTTTAAAACTTCTCCGACAACTTTAGTTATAATCTCCATTTTAGGGGTAACAAAACAATTAAAAAATAAAAAAATAATTCTATTGTACTTTAATCAAATATACAACATTTTATTAATTTATTATTTATAAAACTGTATTTTTCTAAATTATGTTGAATTATTTTATTGAAGATTTTATTGTTATTTTTTTTAATATTATTCTTTAAATTTTAAATTTAATTCTTCTGATAGAATTTATATTAGTTATAATATAATTTTAATAAAACATTGTTTATAAAAAATGTTAAATAAATATACTTATAAAACTTGTGTAATTGAAAAATTTTTAAATATCACTATTATGTTCTTTGTTTTCATCAAATTTAATGATAAAAACAACATTTAATTTTACCTAAATAAAATCAATAAAATTTACATTAAAATACATGTTACGAAGGTTTTCTGGCTCTTAAAAAGTAAACGTTTTTTTTTGTTTATTTCGTTGACTTAACTAACTTTCCTTTTTGTCATTTTTTGATAAGTAAAAAAAATTAGTTTAAACAGTTTTCTTAAAAACCTTAAACTAAATAGTACTATTGTCTAAAATATTCATTTAAAATTTCATCTATACTATACAATAATAAATATGAATTTATAATCAATTAAAAATCACTAGTATTCATTTAATAAAATTTATGTTTAAATTTTAAGAGATTTATATTATACCGTTTAGGTGATTTAATATAGTATTTGATTCTAAACTGTGAAAAAAATAATAAGAAATCTTTAAATTAAACCGCGATATTAAAAAAATAATTGTTTTGAATTTTTTAGAATATTTAAAAAAGAACAAACATGTTTAGGAAAGTGTAAAAAGAGAGTTTCCAACAGACATGTTATTAACAAATTTAGATTTACAAAACATTCGTAATAACGTATAGATTATAAAATTCACGCTTTTAATTAAAGGTTTTGATATAATTTTTTTAATATAAAGTTTTTAAGAACAAATAACAAGTTAAAAACAGTAATACAACAATATAATAGTTTTGAGGCTCTAATAATAAAGACAAACCAGATAATTAACTTGGTACTGTTCCAAAAATATTACCGTGCTATAATAAAAAAATTTTAACCTGTATATAATAAGACTGTATCAATTATAAAACAACCTTGTATTTATTCATATTTTTTAAAAGTTAAAATTTTTTAAATGTTTCTAGAAAAAAAAGAATGTGATTAAACTAGAGAAAGAAGTTCTCAGTGTTATTGTCGTTAATGTAGAAAACCAATATTTCAATATCGAAAAAATCGACATAAAAATATTCAATTCAAATACAATTTAAAATCAATATTTTTTATATTTACAAATAATTTAGACTTTTAATTCATTTATTTATTTAAACTTAATACCAGTTCTATTTATAACATTGAAAGTTCTTCTGACATACTTTCCATATTTCCGATTTAATGTTTTTTTCATTATAACTAAAAAGTTATAACCTTTTTATTTAAGTTTAAATTTCATAAAAATGATATTTTTACAAATAAATTTAGTCTTCTTTTTCTTGAATTTTAAAATTATATTTAGATTTTCATAATTAACTATATTCACCTTTATTGTCAAATACTTTATAATTATTTACATTTATTGTTTAAAATTATAAAATTTTTATTCCTTTCGATAGTTGCTTATTAGATTTCAATATTTATTTTGTTTAAATCTTTTTTTAAATAAGTTTTATTAAATTGTTCTGTTATTTGTATCTTTTTAAGATTTGTAAATGTTATTTTATAAATAAAATCATTAGAATCATACATTCCATTTAGATTAAATTATTATTTGTTTAATAAATATCTATTAAGTTAATCAAATATAATATAAAGTAACATTTAAAAGAAGTTTTTATTAGTGTACAAACTATAAATAAATTAGTTATCATATAAAATATTAGAGAAGTTTTTAAAAATGTGAATACTGATTGTAGTATCATAATTTGAATAAAGACTATTCTAATTTAAATTTTGACCAGTTTTTTGACCCCTTGAAATCTATTTATAAATTAATAATAACGAATTATTTAAATGATAATAATTAATATGTAATTAGGAATACATAAGAAGGTTTATATAAGTGATAACAAAAATAGTTACAATTTACTGCTTTAACATTACTAAACACACATCAACAGATATGATTTATCCAATATCCTTGATATTGTTAAGAATAATAATTTATATAAAATTCTAAATGTCAATTATTTGATAACCAAATATTTAAATAAAAATATCATTCAAATGATATATTTTTTCTAGAATGTTTAGAAATTAAATCTAAAATTTGTTAGTGCCGAAACCGGTAGAGGATGTAGTTAGAAGTTTATTTGTGAAATTTCCATCTTCTAATGGTGATTCTCCTCTGTTGTAAAAGGTTTACTGTTGCTGTGTCTGCGATCTTGTTGATCGTATTGTCTGTATTGTTTTCAATATTCATGAATAAATTTTTTTTTACAAAATTTATAATCAAAAGATCACGTCTGAAAGAAAATAAAATTTATATCCAAAACATCTCATACAACCATTGTTTCTTTTAAGTTTACGTCAGTTAGTATGTTTATTTGGATTTTATTAAGATTTATTTAGAAAATTTATTAAAAGAATACAATTAAAATTTTGTATTTATTTTATGTTTAATAAATTAACTTATCTAATTTACTTTTTGTATTTATTTTTTATAAAAAAAAGTAAGTTTAATAAATGTTAAAAACACAGAAAATTGTTTTAAATAAAATTACTTTTAATTGTTTATAACTGCCATGGTTTGGGTGAACAGTGTTGTATTGTAAATAATTATTGTAAAGAGAGAGTTGTTTAAAAGAAAGATTATTGTTAATCATGTATTTATTTATGTTAAATTGTTTTTATGTTTAGTATGAAACAAATCACAAACAGTTTCATGTGTATTTGTTGAGGATGTGACAATAACTATTATTAAAACTTCAAATCAAAAAAAACTTTCTCGTGTTGTTATATTAATCACTCAAAATAGTTTTTTAATAATTATTAATTTAAAAAATTAGGATAGTTTAATGAGATTTTAATTTTTAACTTTAATTTCTTATTTTTAATTTAAGATTATTAATTATTTTTTTTACTCATAAAACTTTACAGTCAACGACAAAAAAATTTAAAATTCATAAGCTGTATTCTGTCTATATTTAACCCTCAGATAATAATTTTAATTTTTTTTCGCTGACTGTACTTCATATGCTCAAGTTGGAGATCTAGACCCTTAGATTCAAATTCAAAATTGAAATAGGGTATTTAGGAAATTATTCTGTGGAACCTCGAATATTAAATTAACTATAAAAATGAAGATAGATTTAATTACAGACTTAAAAACACAAAAGAATGACGATTGTTGAAAAGCAAACACCGTAATAATTATATTTTATATTAAGAGATAAAAATAAATTTAATCTAACAATTATAAAATTACTTTTTATTTTTAAAGTTATAACTTTAAAAATATATTAATTTAATATACAATTTATAAAAATTACAATCATTTATTCTAAAAATACAATGACAGATACAAAAATACTAATTTTTATGACTGAAAATAAAAATCTATCTTTTTGTTTATAAAATTATTTATTTTAAAAGAATCTTTAGTCTTAAAAATATTAAATTTATTTATACTTTTAAATAGCGTTTATAACACAAAATAAAGATTATTCTTTATAATAAAAAATAAACATTAATAATAAAAAAACTTAAATTTCAACTTCTTGTAATTATCAAAAATTGTTAAAAATTAAATTTTTAAATAAAAATAATAAATCAAAATTTGAAATAAAAATTCTTAAATAAAATGTTAATTTTGTAAACCAATAAGAAATTAGTTTCCAAGAAAATTTGTAGTTATAAATTTTAAATAAAAATTTTACCTATAAGAATTACAATTATGAGTAATAGTAAAGATACAGATAAGATAAATAAACTATATTTAAACATCTACGATGCCAAATGCATTTTTTGATTATTTAATTGGAAAATAAATTTTTTTTGTTATTTTTTTAAAAATTATTTGTTATTTATCCTTAATATGAATCAAGATACAAACAAAAAAGAGATTTCTTTAAGTGAATTAAGAAGTTATTTTGCAAATACTAATGAAAATGTTGATAATTCTAATTCAGATCATAATACAAAACAGTTTAGTGATATGAATTTAATTAAAGATACAAATGAAGAACTTAATAACAACATTACCTCACAGACTAAAACTCAACCAATACAACTAACATTTAGTGACGTTAATATTAAAACAAATAAAGGTAAATTTTTAGTTAAAGGTGTATTCGGTACAGTTAAACCGGGTAAATTTGTTGCATTATTAGGTCCATCAGGGTGTGGTAAAACAACATTAATGAATGCAATTACAGGATCACTTGATAAAACTTTAACTGGAGATGGTCAAGTTTACTTAAATAAAGAATTAATTAATTCTAATCACCAAGAAAATTTAATTGCCTTCTGTGAACACAAAATATTAGGATATGAAAATTTAACAGTAATGACACAAGTTGACTATGCAGCAAGTCGTTACAACAAAAACTCAAAAGAGATTGCTAATAATATTATTGATGCTTTGTATTTAACAGAAGAGAAGAATAAGGAATATCAAGTGTGTTCAGGGGGACAACAAGTAAGAATATCAATAGCAACAAATTTAACCACTAAAGCATCTATTTACTTGCTTGATGAACCACTAACTGGTTTAGATAGTTATTCGGCACGTAAGGTAATTGTCATTATAAAAGAGCTAACTAATTTAGGTAAAGCAGTTCTTTTATCAGTTCATCAACCTTCAGATAGTATATTTGATATGTTTGATGAATTTATTTTGATGACAAATGGAAGTATTGTATTTCAGGGAACTAAAGAAGAAGCAATTAAGTATTTTGCTACAATAGAATTTGTTAAAGAACACAAATTAATGTCTTACCCAGATTTCTTTTTAAAGATTATTACAATGGAAAAGAATTTTAAAGTAAAAAATACTGAGATTTCTCAAAAAAAGTATAATTTATTAGTTGATAGTTGGAAGTCTAATACTAAAGAAATTGAAATTGAGTACACTGAACCTGTTAATGTAAAATTTAAAAAATACTCAGTGATAAAGAAACTTGCAACCATGTTAATGAGTAATCTTTTTAGCTTTTCTTTCTTATTTTACATTAGTCTAATTCCAATTTTAAATATGTTAATGGCAATATTTGATTTACTTATAGAAGACGATTTTAACCTTGTTTATGAAAAAATTGGTAAATTGTATTCTAAGAAACAGAATATTAATGAGTTTGTATTTATAGAAGAAATTGTGTATAGTGAAGTAATTCTTCATGTTTCTGGATTTGAAAATAATGAACTTCGTGAGCTTTATGAAAATGAACCATTTAGATGGTTATGTAATGATAATCCTATTTTAATACTTGGTATATTTTTATATTACAGGTTTTTATTTTTTGGTTTGTTTGAATTTTATCAATTTTCTAAATTTATTGAAAACTATAAAGCTGAGTATAAAAAAGGATATTTCGGAGTCACTGGTTTTTTACTTGCTTCTTACTTGGTTTCAATTAGAGAGTTTATTGTTTTGATTTTTTGTGATATTTTTATTTTTATATATTTCACTAAAAATTGGAAGATGTTAACAGTTTTAATAATTTTCTATTTGTTAACACTTAATATTCTTTATTTGTGTTGTTTGAATTTATTTTTATTAGTGAATATATTATATTATAGTTTATTGTCCTTTACATTTGCATACATAACTTCCTATGTGTTAATTTATCGCTATAATATGTTCAGTTCTATATTTTTCAATTCTATAATTCAAATTACAAAAATTGATGAAAATTCCCCAACTTTATTAATGTTTCGTAATTTAATTTCACCATTCAGTTGTTTTTTAACAAATACATTTGAAGTGAAAACAGTTCTCTTTAATTTATTGTATTTGTTATTTCTTAATTGGGTTTTTATTATATTAACTTTATTTAATTTAAAAAAGAATTTACAAATTGGTCGTGGTAAGTTTACTCCTTTGATTTTTAATAAAACCACTTAATTTTTTATTGTTAAATTATATTCTTTACTAAAAAATTTTATATCAAATACACTGTCAGTTTTCTGTTTAATTGAATTTAATAATTTTTTTAAACAATATTAGTTGTTCTTCTTTTATTTTTGATAAATTGATTTACATATTTTTTAAATCTCAAACCAAATAAATCCGGATGTAATAACCACGAAGAAAACAAAACAGATAATTCAGCCATAAATATCAACAATAAATAATAAAAAAGCTTATTTTTAAATATATTATCTTTTGAGTAACGAAATAAAAAAGTGTAAACATCAGCACATCTACAGATAATAATATTAAAAAATAAAACATAAGCTGATCCTCTAATTCTTTGATAAGCACCAATAAGATTAGGTAAAGATCTTGTTAAGAAATTATTTAAAGACATACAAATAAATAATCCTAATACACCCAAAACAAAGTCAACAGTAAGCCCTATTAAAACAATGGTAAGTAGTATACCAGTATAATATCCTATAACAGAAGTCTCAGAAGAATTAAAGAATAACAAAGTTCTTACACTACTAACTATTAAAAACATAATTGATAATCCAAATAATAAATTTACTGTCTGTTCTCTTAGTAAAGAGTGTCTCATTAGTTTTCTAATAAATAATCATGTTTTATTTAAAATATTTATTGATATACAATCGTGGATTTTCTAAGATAAAAGCTTTAAACTCATCAGATAATTCTTTTATAAAACTCATATTTGACTTGATGGATGATTTTAAAGGGATTTTATCAACTTCTTCAGAAAAATCAGTATCTTCATTTTCAACAGTATCAACTTCATGAAAATCACTATTAAGTATAGATTCTTCTAATAAAATCAATTTGTCATTTAAAATTATAAATTTATGATCTGAAAATCTTTTTTTAACTGAATTTATAAAATTGTTATCATCTCTGTTTGTTAATTTAAAAATTTGCATTAGAAGGATTTAAAACACAATATAAAACAAGAAGCATTAAATGAAAAGAGTGTTTTAAAATAATGTTTAGTTTAATAATTGTATTTTTTAGATTTATAAGTACTGAAAATACAGTACACAAAGAAAGAAATAGTAAAGATATTAAAGTTAATATGCAAATATTATTGAATGGGTTACATCATGCCATTTTTGGAAAACATGAAATAAATCCAAACACACAAAAGATAATAAGTGAATTGAATGACAAAAATATTGGTTTAGATAAAGCTTTTAATATAATAGCTCATTTAAAATCAAATAATGAAGCAATGGAGGCGTTAGAAGAATTACTAGAAAGATATAACGATATATGTAAAATGAGTAGTAATGTTAATACAGAACAATTGTGTGTTGTTGAAGCACATCTTGAAGAATTATATGAAAAGCTTATCAATGAAACACCAATTGGAGATTCTAAAAATGTCACTAAAATTCTTAGAAAAGTAATAGAAGAATATGAAAAAAATAAGGCTCGAATTGATCTTTGTGCTGCTGAAATAGAAGAAACAGTTGTTGATAAATAAATTTATTTAAAACGTTCGTTTCATTGATGTTTATAAAAATAAATTTGTTTGGAACTTTATGTTTTTAGATAAATTAATTAAGTTATTAATATTAAATCAAGTAATCTGTAGTGGTTTTTATTATACGAGACATAATAATTCTTACAACTATCCTTCTGGAACAACTTTCTATAGAAAAAATACCGTAATGAATAACCCTAATAAAGATAACAGTAAAAGATTTTATATGGCAAAAGGTGAATTAGATACTGCCACAACTAGTGATAATAGTCCTGTAGTTGTTCCTATGGAGAACATTTTTAGAAATTTACGGGCTTTTGCTAAACCTAAAAAAGGTGAACTTAATGATAATGAACTTATAGAATATATTAAATCAATTGGAGGAGATTATGGTTCTTTTAATCAAAAATTAGATTTTGCTAAAAAATTTGCTCTTGCAGGTGACCTTCATCCTGCTATAAGCCAAGTAATTCTATATTATACTAAAATAGATAAGAATGGTAAAAATGATGAATTAAAAACACTTGCAGATCATTTAAAAATGGTTAATTCATCTGCTCATACAATTGTTGATAAAAAATCTTCAACACAAGAAAAAGCTGATAAAATGGATTTATTATTTGCTAATTTAACAAATGCTCTTACCAACTATATGAAATATAAAGAAAAATATAATGAACTTGAAGGTGTTAATTAATAAAATTTTTTAATAAAAATTTTTAATAGAAATGGGAAAAGTTGTTAAGATAAAGAAAATTAAGAAAATGTTATATAAAAAGAAAGAAAAAGAAGAACTTAAGGAAGTTAAAGAAACTAAAGAAATTAAACATACATTAAATATTGTAAAAAATTATAAACCTCCATTTCAAGTGTTATTAGATACAAATTTTATTAATGATTGTATTAGAAAGAAAACTGATCCGATTGAAGCTATAAGAAGTGCAATTTTAGGTGATGTTGAATTTTACATTACTGATTGTGTTTATGCAGAACTTGAAAAACTTGGTAGAATTTTTAAATTAGCTATGAAAATGATTAGATACTTACCACACACCAAACTCTGTTGTGATCATAAAGGAACTTATGCTGATGATTGTCTTTTAGATAGAGCTACTAATAATTTATTTATTGTAGCAACATCTGATGTAAATTTAAAGCAACGAATTAGAAAAGAATTATATCCAGTGCTTATGTTTAGAGGTAGAAATGTTGTGGCTGAAGGATTTTATTTACTATAAATTTATTTTAAATATCCTTCTATCAACACCAACGTATAGTTGATTATCATAATAACAAATATCATTGATTTGATTATCAAATGATTTAATATAAATTTCCTTTTTTAAATCATTTTTATCAAACCAATATAAATTATTAAAAGAACCTATCAATAAATATTCTCCACACTCTCTTAAAAGTGTAGCATATCTTATATTAATTTTTTCTATGTGTAACTCAGAACCTTTAATAATAATAATTTTACTTTTTGATGTTCCTAAATAAAAAACATTTTTAATGACGTTTATACAAGTAACAACAATATCAAAAGGTATTAAAAAGTTACTAAAAGTTCTCTTTCTAATATTAAATCTCATAATCTTATTCTTATTTTCAATGTAAACGATATGAGTTTCACTTAGTGTTAGAAATGAAATGTTTTTAACTTCTAATTCAAATATAAATTGTTTGTTTTCAATATACTTTATCAAATTATTTGATAAAAAAACTAAATTATCTCCACATACAAATACATCTTCTATCAATGAATCATTTTCTATTATTAATTCTCCCAAGTGATTTATTATTTTATTCTTATTAATAAAAACTAATTCTTTGTTAATTTTAAATAATAATCCTAATTTGGTAAAAGAATCAAAAACACATCTTTCATTTTTATAAATCTTATTAGAGTATGTTTTAGATAAAATATTATCATTAACAACCTTCAGTTTCACTATACAATCATCTAATTCTATTAGAGGTTTATTAATATTATCTTTAATTGTATAATAAACTTCATTAGTATCTTCCTCAGTTAATTTATCCAAGTTATAAATAACCTCATCATTATAATAAAAAACATACTGGTATTTATCATTGTTTATGTGATTTACATAGTTATTTAACATCACCAAATTGAAAGAATCTTCAATTGTTATTTCATCTACTTTCTGAAAATCATCTTTATTAATAAGTTTAACAATCCTCAACATTTTTTACAAAAAATTTCAATCACTTTTATTTATTTTATCTGCAATTGATTTAAAAAAATCTCTCTTAGATTCTTGGGATTTTCTATGGTTTTCAATATCATTAAATACTCCCTCAAAATAACTGTAATAATCTTTATTATTTAATACTTCGTTATAGAATTGTTCATCAATTGACTTATTCTTAACTATCAATTTTAAATTAGTTAATTCCTTAATGAAGTTTTTATAATGAGTAACTGGAAACTCTTCAGATATTTTATTCTCTGTTTGTAATTTTATTTTATCTAATAAAGACTTACATAATTTTATTTTATCTTCAATTGATTCAATAGATTTGTTTGTAAACTTTATTCTAACTTTTGTTAAATCAGTCATTCTATTAAAAATTCTATTTTTATTTAAAATTCTGTATTAAATTTACATTTCTCCTTTAAACAACACTCATTACATTTAGGTTTTTTCTTTAAACAAATTAATTGTCCAAATCCAACTAAAATTCTATTAACTTCATTAAAATCTTCTTTATTAAAAATGCCTTCTAAAAACTTTCTTACCTTTTCAATTGTCATTTTTGTATTTAATATTCTATTAACTATTCTATGAACATGTAAATCAACACCAATCCCCTCATGGATATCATGAGCATTACTTAAATATAAGTAAGCCATTTTCTTACCAAATCCTGGTAATTTAATTAATTCATTAAAATCTTTATCATTAATTTTTGTTAGTTTTTTACTTGAATCAATTAAATATTTTAATTTCTTATTATGGTAACCAACTTGTTTAATACATTCATGAATATCTATATGATCATATTTTAATAAATTTACAGGAGTAAATGTTTCTTTAACAAGTTTAGTTAAATTAGTAACAGCTGTATAAGTAACAATATCTCTTGTCTGTGAACTAAGTAATAATGCAATGAAAATTTTATAAGAATTATTTCCAATAGCTTTACATCCATATTTATCTACTGGTGCAATTAATTCATTTCTTTGATTTTTTATTAAATTAAACATTTCTTTAAAGTTCATTATTTTAATTTAAATTTTAAACTTAATTGAATATAAAAATAAAAATTAATGAGAGAGCATGAAAATATTCAACTTAATATCCGCACTAAATTATGAAACAGACAACAAAACAATGACCATCTACTTGTATGGAAATTATATATTTGATACTTCTAACAAAGAACTGTTTGAAAAATTAAATGATAAAATTATTCTTTTAGATAAGTTAGATGTGAAGCCTATGATATTATGTAATCATAAAGTTCGTTCTGGATGGATTATTGATGATTTAATAGATAGAATTGTAATATTAGCAACTTCCGATAGCATGGATGAATTAGAAAAACAGCTTTATAACAACAGGTTTTTATCTAAATATGTTGTAATAAATACACATGAAGTTACTCAACCAATGAAAGAATTAGTTAAGAAGTATGATTATGTTTTAATAGAGAATAATCATATTTTAAATAAGAAAACTATTAAAAAGTTTAATATGCCTATTGAAGAACATCTCTCTATTGCTTTAAATATTGAAATTAATGAATCTGATTGTATTGATTTGATTAATAATGCTAAATCATTAGGTTATAATTTTACTTCTTTAACTGAAAAAGAAAAGTTAACAAAACATGTGTCATTTAATAATGTTGATTTAAAAGAAGATAATAATGTTGATTTAAAAGAAGACAACAATGTTGATTTAAAAGAAGATAATAATGTTGATTTAAAAGAAGATAATTACAATGTTGATGATTCAAATGAAGAAGATAGTTTTATTAAAGAAAATAGTTGTAAATCAATATTCTTTAATCTATTTTATTTACTTTTATTGTAATGTAAATAAATTTATTTAAAAATAAATGACTGATTATTATGAACCAAATGAAGATAGTTTTACATTTTATGATGTTTTAAAAGAAGAGAATTTAACTAATAAAGTTATCTTAGATCTTGGAAGTAGTACCGGTTATTTAAGTAAATCATGTAGTAAAAATAACTATATAATAAACAGTGATATTAATTATAAAGCTTTACTTAAGAATGAATTTAAAGATAAAATTAACACTGATTTATTAAAAAGTATAAATACAAATAAGATTGATGTGATTATTTTTAACATTCCTTATTTACCAAACTACTGTAAATTAGATAATGTTATTGATAGTTCTATTACACACGAATCAAATGATGTTAACTTAAAGTATTTGATAGGCGGTGATAAAAAGGGTGATAGAATACTTCGTGATTTTATTGATCAAATTAAAGATTATAAAAATATTTTATACCTTCTAATTATAGAATTAAATGAACCAAAGAAAATAATTAAAAAGTTGGAATCTTATGGTTTTAAAGTAGAACTTATGAAGATTAGAAAAATTCAAGGAGAAACGATTATTATATTAAAGTGTTATAAATAAAATTTATTTGCAAAATACACGTAATCATTAACATCTAATAGGTTTAACATTGAAATTGATATGTAATCAATATCAAATTTAGATAAATAGATATCACTGTATATTTCCTTTTTAAGAAATTTAACTATTTCTGGTTCTAATTCTTTTATGTTAATGTTCTCAGATTTACAGAATTCTATTTTACTTAAATTTGTATAATTCGTCAACTTTCCATCTTTATAAATAAGTTTATCAAGAATGTTTCTTATCTTAATATTTGTTTTTTTAATATCAAATGTTTCGTTAAATTCAAATTCTTGAAGTTCTTTTAAAATTTCTTTATCTTTACTTTCAATCTTATTTAATTCATTTACTTCATCTTTAAGTTTACTAGAAAGCTCTTTATATAATTTTTTTGATAGTTTAACTGGACACTTGGTTAATTTAATAAAACATAACAAATTATTGTCTCTTATTTTCATCAATAAAATTTTTTAATTTAATTGATAAAATAAATGAATAATAAAGAGTTTACAAGTGAATTAGATTTAAATAATGAATTTACACTTGATTTTAGTAAAAATGAAAATATAAACACTACATTGAGAAGTGATCTTAATAAAGACTTTCATCTTAGTTATATTGGAGAGAAAGTAGAAGAAGTTAAACCTAAAAAGATCAGATATAATGAAAATGCTGCTATGAAAGAACATTTAATGAGTGAAAAGGGACTTAAATTTTTAGTTGAGGCAAGTAAAAATAAAAATGTATCTGATGTGAGTATTTTAGAAAAAATTGATGCATTAATAGACTTTTATGTAACTTGGGCAAACAATTTTCCAGTTAAAAAGAATATAAAAATGACTAAATATGAGTTTTTAAAAAGAATAGAAAATTTTATTAAAGAAACTGATTTTACTCAAAATTGATCATTAAAATCTTATTTGTGTTTAATAAGAATATTCTATTTTCTGCTATAAAATAATAATCCGATTTAGGAATCACCTTCTTATCAACAATGCTGTTGTTAGAATGTTTTAATGTGATGGATGTTTTATTAAAAACTACGTCTTCTCTTTTCAGTCTTGATGTTTTTGGAAATTGAAAATCACTATCCAAATCTTCAATTATTATTGTTTCATTTTTGTTAACCACCCTCTTCATTGTTTTATCTCTGTATAGCAATATTAAAGAATCATTTAAAATTCTACATTTGTTTACTTTCTCTATGTTTATAAAGTTAAGAAATGCCTCAAAGTATGCTTCATATTTAAACTTATCAATTATACTTAAATAGAATACTAAAACATAATATTTCATTTCCCCTTTTAGACATGAATAATAATAAGATAGTGGTGAATACTCTATTCTCTTAAGAAATGTTAATTTACTGCTTACTATTTCATATATTATTATATCCAGGTGTTCATCTATTGTTATAACATGATTTCCAAATGATGCAATATCAATTACCCCACCTACATCAAATTCAATGAATGGATCAACTAATCTTCTTATGTTGTTTACTTTAGGAAAGACTAATTGTGTGGGTTCGATTATGTTAAAATTAGATTTATTAGTGTATTTTGATAGAAAATATGCTACATGCTCTTTATATGTTCTGCTCATATTATGAAACAAAAATAAATTTTCTTAATAAATTAGTTTTAAATCTTAAACTTTATTTTTGATTGTTTTTAAAACTTTTAAATTACGATCAAAAATCTTCATGTTGAGTGTTTTTAACATTTTAACTTGCAAATCTCTAACTTTCTCCCCCTCTTCACAAATAATTGAATTTTCTTTAATAAACTTTCTACTTCCAGATTCCTCAATAATATTGTTGAATTCACTAAACTCACCTTTAACTTCTTTTTTATTTTCATTTACAACTTTTACTGGTGAAATCTCCTCAACACGAATAAAATCTTTGAAAGTAAAATCTATGCTTTCAGTATTTGAAAGAATAATTAAAACATCTTTAAACTTCTTTAAATTATACTTAAATTCACGATCTAATATACTTTTCTTTATAAAATAAACTTTAATTTCTTTATTTTCTCTTAATCTCTTAATATCATTAGATGGTAATCTTTCATTTTGAACAATCAACTGATATTTATAATTCTTCATTTCACTCTTCATTTCATTAAGTTTTTCAATATGATTTTGTTTTTTCTTTTGCTTATCTTTTACAATTCTCATATAAAATTTTTTATTAAAGAATTTATTAAGAATTATTTAATGATATTGTTATAACTTCAATGTTTTTTTATTAGTAATGAAACCAGCATTTAAGAACAAATTTATTTAATCTATCTCCACTGCTTATCTTATCATCTATCTTTTGATTATCTAATTTCATGGATTTGTTTAATATTGAAAAACATACATTCTATATTTCACTTATATATTTTCTTATCAAAAAAACATATTTATACTTGTCAGTTGCATTCAATTTATTTACTTTAAACAGTTTTTAATAAACCTTTATACAAATTTCTCAAATAAAATTTTATATAATTATATCATTATTACTTAGTTAGTTTACTAGAAAAATTAATAAGAATTTTTTTATTTCTATTTCACTTGAAGTTATATTTTATTTTCAAACAAACCTCATGTCAACTCATTACTTTAATGCTTTAAATTAAACCAGTTATAATAATATTAGTTATTCAAACATATAAAGAAGAATAAATAAATAAAGGATGGTTAAAAAATTATCTAAATAATTTAACAAGCCGTGCTAGACATAATAATACTTAACAAAACTTTAATTTTTACAAAAAATATTAAATTAAAACGTTATTTTTATTTAGTAAATTCAGATATGTCTACACTATCAACACTATTATTCTTTTCTTTATTAAATAACCCCTGTTTAGCTATTTTAACATTGTTACTATACATTTTATTATAAGGTGTAGCTTTATAGTTTTTAACTAAATCTTTAATAAGAGAACTACCTGTCTTTTTAGGAATTTTAATTAAATTCTTTTTTACCTCCAAACAAGTGTTTATATCTAAACCTAAAATTCTAACAAAAGCTTCAGGTCCATCATCTTTACATAAACATTTAACTAAACCATTTACAGCTAATGACTGAGATAAATACAAATTTGGAGAATTATAAATTGTTATTAAGTTAAAGACACCCTGTAAAGTATCAAAATCATCACTTCCACTATTAAACATATTTAACAAACGAAAAACCACTGAAGGATGATCAATCTGCATTAGAACAGTCAAGTTATTTTGGAAATTATTGATTTTTGCCGATAAGTTATTCATTTGATTAATAAGTATCTTAAGTGACTTATTGTATTCATTAAAATCAATTACAGTATCCCATGTTCTTACAAAATAATCAATTTCCTTTTTTATAAACACATTTATATTACTACTATCCAAATAAGGTAATAATTCATTATTAAAACATCCAATATACATTAAAGGAAATGTATCAAATTTAATATAAATAACATTTAATATTTCATCTGGAATATTCCCTAAAAGCTTCAATACTAAAAAACACCTATCAAATGGTACATTATTAATAAAGAATCTATAAAACATCTCCTTATAATTTGAATAATATTCTCTATCCTTCTTTAGATAATAAAAGTATTTAATAGCAATTTTTTTAGTCCACACACAATCAAAAGAAATAAGATTTCCTAATTTAAAATCAATTAAAGAATGTAATTCTTCAGTACCAGTAAACTGTTCAGTGAGTTTATAAATCTCTTTATATTGAATAGGTGTAAACTGATAAGTATACAAGATGTTAATTAATAACTTAATAGCATCTTTTTCGTTATAATTAAGTAAAGGAATAAATTCAGGTGTAGCTGGATCTTTAAGATAAAAACAAACTGTTCCATCTAAAAGTGGGTTATTAAATCCTTTTAAGTGTTTTAATAACTCAGGCTTGTATTTATTTAAATTATTTAAAATAAACAGAGAAAATCTCAAATTAATAAAAGAACTACTTTCCTTACAAAGTGAAGCAACTTGTTCAGGATATACTTTTAGTGTGGAAGATATTAAAGCAAGTATAGCAGATTCTTCTTCATCAGTCTGTCCTAATTGATTATACATTAAAATAATCTCACTTAAAATTGGTTTAACATAATTAGAAACTTCCAAATTTGTATTCAAAACAAAAACCTTTTTCCAAAATACACAACAATCAAAAAAACACTCCTCATTTTTTATACAAGAAAACATGTATTGAAATAAGTGTTGAGATGTGTATTTAGCACACTCAACAAAATTACAAGTAAGTAAAGGACTTGATGGCATTTTAGGTAAAATTTCAAATAATTTGTTAATATCAATAAAATCCCACCCCTCATCAAATAACGAAATAGCCTTATCAGGAAATAAATGTGCGTTACTATAAACAAAAGTAAAATCAAGTTCTTTAGGCATAATCTTCAGTAACTCTTTCATAGTAGGTATAATATATTGTGCATACCTCTCATCCATTTGACTCATAAATGATCCAACTACATATCTCACAGATGTCTTAAGTTCTGCTTTTCTGGGTTTTGATAAACTTTCAGAATAATTTAATTTCTCTAAGAAAGTTAAAAAAATCCTGTAACCTACTTCTGGGTTTTCTTTCAACTTAATTAACATCACATCAAAGAAATTATTCATAAGCATTGGCCAACAGTAAAGTCCTAAATCAACAAAAACATCTATCAATTGATAACTGATATTCTCCTGAATCATCCTATTAACAACCTCAACTTCTTCTCTAAGAGACTCTAAATCGTACTTCTTTCTATTAATTCTCAATCTCAGTATTCCTACAGTATAAAAGAGTACGTTACTATCTTTTAACATCTCACTGTTATATAATTCTAAACAACTGGGAGCATTTGATAACTCATTAACAACCACCTCCATTTCTTTTATAGTATTTTCATCAAATATTCCACTCTGTGTAATTTTTAAAAATCTTTTATAATTATCCATTAAATTTTAGAGGGTTAATTTTTATTAGAAAAAACAATTCATAAAAATTAAATTTTATAAAGTTAGTTAAATTTTATAGAGTTAGTTAGTTAAATTTAAAAATAGTGATTTGAATATAAAAATAAAAAGTGTTTAACCAGAAAATGCCTTATAAACTAATAAAAACAACAATCCAATTATAGCAATTCCAATACTTATGTATTTTAAATAATCAAGTAAATAAACCCATTTAGTTTTTATAGAAGTAGATTTTAAGTTAGAACTTGTTTCTTCTAACTGTAAAGAATTTTCAAAAACTTGATTGTTTAAGTCACTTAAATCTTGTGCCTGTTTCAATCGATCTTTTAATTTTTCTTGTAATAAATTTACTTGTGCATCCACCTGTAATGTTAAATCATCATTCATTTTAATTTCCCCTTTCGTAACAAAAAACCAGTTTTAAAAATTACAATAACCAATCAAATGAACACTCTTTTTTATAAAAACAGTTTAATTAACTATCCCTTCTTAAAATTATAATAATGCACGTGTTGTAAAATGTTTTTATCAGTCTCATAATTATTCTTTGATTTAAAATCTTTTATTTCTTTCAATAAAAGTTTATAAAAAATTAACTCTTGTGATCGAGTTTTAAAACGTACATTTAAATTAATTAGCAAATTGTTACCAACTATAAATGATCTTGTATCATTCATCCATCCTATTGGTATTCCATATACTGTCATGTATCCATTTAATTCATAGAATATCATTAATCGTTCTGTTGTTAAGTATAACAGTATGTTTTTATTGATGGTAGTTTCAAATTCTCCATCTGATAATGTTACTTCTAACACATTATCACACCATCTTAAATACTCATCATTTAAAAATATCAGTTTCTTTTCTTCATCTAATTTCACATTACATGATGGTAGTTCCGTAAACAAATGCATCTATGGGTCTAAATAATTTTATTTATTTATTAAATTTTTTGACCCATAAAATGGCCGTTCTAACAAACTTTCAAGCTCTAATTAATTGTCTTGTTTTATTTATATGTTTTTCAACAATATTAAAGAGAAGATTTCCATCACTTGTACAACAGAGAGAAGGTATTTATTCTATAATCTATAAGTCTACGGTTATAGGTGAAAGATTGAGTTTTTATGTCTCCCTTTGTTGTTTATATATATTTCTATCTAAATTGTTATCGTTCTTTAGAAATTAAATTTAATTAAAATTTTTAAATTAATTTTTTTATTGAATTAATGCAAAGAAGAAGAACAGAGGAGAATGAATTTAATTTTGATGGTAGTGACAGTGACAGTATTATATTAGGATCTGAACTTCATACTTTAGCAAGTATAGTTAATGATGATAGATCTATTGAAGTAAATAATCAAAATGAAAACTTAGAAGATATTGACCTTCTTAATGAATTACTCACTTTTGTTAACTCTAATTATTCACGAGTTATAAGAAATATGGCAGCTAAGAATTTAGAATCTATTGAAATTGATTATAGAGATTTAATTAGGTTTGATTTGTTTATTGAACAACCTGAAAAATTCTTAGATATTTTATCAGAAAGTCTTACTAAAGTCACTAATCAATACTTTCCTTCTTATTATCAAATTAAGTCTAAAATTTACCCCAGGGTTGTTAATGTACCTGTAGTTGATGAGTTAAGAGGATTGAGAAATGTTCATTTGAATAAGATGGTTAGAGTACAGGGTGTTGTAACCAGGAGAAGTGGTGTATTTAATTTATTTTCATTAGTTAAGTATATTTGTAATAAGTGTAAAGCTTCTATTGGTCCTTTTTATCATAATTCTAGAACGGCACCTAGTATTAAGTGTGTTGAATGTCAATCAAGTAGTTCTTTTACCGTTGATGTTACAGAAACAGTTTATAGAGATTTTCAAAAAATAACTATCCAAGAAATACCCGGTACAGTCCCTCCTGGATCATTACCTCGATCAAAAGAGATTTACTTATTTAATGATTTGATTGATTTTTCTAAGCCTGGTGATGAAGTTGATGTTTGTGGTATTTATAAGAATGATTTTTCTCCTTACTTAAATTTAAAGAATAACTTTCCTGTATTTTCAACTATGATAATCGCTTCTTCGGTAAGTAAAAAGATAAATAAGATGGAAATGACCAATGAGGATGTTAAGGAGATAATAGAATTGTCTAAGGATTCTAATATTCTTGAAAGATTGATTAATTCCGTTTGTCCATCAATACATGGACATAAAAATATCAAAACTTCAATTTTATTAGCTATGGTTGGAGGTAACTCAAAACAAAACAATTCATTAAGAATAAGAGGTGATATCAATGTTTTATTGTTAGGTGATCCAAGTATGGCTAAAAGTCAATTTTTAAGATATATTAATGTTATTTCTCATAGAGCTGTTATGGCTACCGGACAAGGTTCATCCGGTGTAGGTTTAACAGCATCAGTAAGAAGGGATCCTATGTTAAAGGAATGGACGCTCGAGGGAGGTGCTTTAGTCTTGGCAGATCAAGGAATTTGTTGTATTGATGAATTTGATAAAATGAATGAAATTGATAGAACATCAATACATGAAGCTATGGAACAACAGTCAATTTCAATTTCTAAAGCAGGTATTGTAGCATCATTACATGCAAGATGTTCTGTTGTAGCAGCTGCTAATCCAATCAAAGGAAAGTACAATTCAGCATTATCATTTTCTCAAAATGTTAATTTATCAGATCCAATTTTAAGTAGATTTGATTTATTGTGTGTAGTTAAAGATAACATAGATGAGATAGAAGATTCAAAAATAGCAGATTTTATAATTAAAAACCATAAAATGGGTAATAATGAGGAAGAGACTGATATTAATCAAGATTTACTAAAAAAGTATATTTTGTATGCTAAAAATAATATTGTTCCTATAATAGCAAGTTTTGATATTAAGAAAATCACGAGGTTATATTCTGATCTTAGAAAAGAATCACTTCATAGTGGAATACCAATAACAGCAAGACATATTGAATCAATAGTGAGAATATCTGAGGCATTTGCTAAATTAAGAATGTCATCCACAGTAAGTAAAACTGATATTAATAGTGCAATTGATATCACATTAAATACTTTCTTATCAGCTCAAAAGTATTCAATAGCTAAAACTTTAAGAAAGAAATTTGCTAAATACTTTGAAGAAAATAATGAAGATTTAATTATTTATTTACTTAAGAAAATGATAACAGAAAAAGTAACAGTAACAGGTGAGGGATCAATCAATGTAAATGAGTTTATTCAATATTGTAAATTTAATGAAGTAATTGTAACTGATAATTTTTATAAATCTGATACTTTTATTAAAAGTGGTTATCAGATAGAAAATAACGTAATTATTAAAAGAAATTAAAATTAAAAAATCTTTTTAAATAAAATGTTAACACAATTGCAAATTAAAATTAATGAATTATTAATTCTTTATTCTAGAATTATATTTAAAGACAATAAAGAGTCACTAGTTGATGAATTGAATAAACAAAGAGATGATATTATGGCTTGTATAGATAAAACCAATCAAATAGAAGAATTTAATATAGAAGAGATTTTAATAAAAGCTAAAGAAAAAATCAAATCTAATAAAGAATTTATAAATAAGATGTAAAGTTTATTTCTTTAATAAAATAGAATATCTTTCACTATTAAGAACAGCTTCTAATTTTTCTAAGGTTATTTTGTGATCACTTTCATCTAAACTTTTATAAACGTTAGTTGAAACTTCTTTTATAAATAATTCTACTGCTTTACTTAATACAACTGGAACAGTAGAAGCTGTTTTGCCAATTTCTTCATTTTGTAATATAATCTTTTTAATCTTACTAATTGGAAATCTGGTTTTCTTTTTCAAATGATGAATATTTCTGTTCTCTTTCATTTTTATAAAAATAATAAAAATTTAATAAAATAATTTAAATGATAGAAAATAAAGAAGAGAAATTAGAAAAGTTAAATAAAGAACTAGATAGGTTAGTTTTAAATAAGAAATTAGAATTAGAAGATGAACAATTTAAGAGAGTTAGAATAGATAAAATATTAAGAGTTTATATTGAAAATTATAATGATTATGTTGTTATAAAAATGAGGGTTATTAAAGGTTCTATTATGAGTCCAATTGCTGAAATGAAAATTGAAAGTGTTAGTCTTTGGGATGTTCTTAAAAGAGTTATAGTTGTTGATAGTTCTAATGGGGATAATATATATGAGTTTTTTGAAGATCAAAAGATTCAAGCCTTTAAGGTTCCTTTTGATTCAAAAAAGGAAAATTCTAAATTATCTATTAAAATAAAACTTGAAAATACTCGAAATGAAGTAATGTTAACTAATGAGATGAGTAGTTTGTTAAATGTTAAAATTGATACTAAGCCAGGTATTATAAAAGAATTTTATAAGTATTTAATTAATAAAGGGTTATTAAATCATGACACTTTGATTGTTACGTGTAATGATGAATTAAAAAATATTTTTAAAATAGATTCATTTCCATTTAAGGATATTAACACCTTATTAGAGGATGTTTATATTCCTGTTGGTTATTATACTATTCAGTATACACCATCTTTAGATATAAAAATGTTTGATATTCCATTTACAGCTGATGATAAATCTCAAATGCCTTCATTATTTAATAAAAACACAACTGCTTTAGAAAAGAAAATAGAAACAAATAAGATATTAGAAAATAAAATTAGAAGAAAGATAATTGAATTGAAGGAGTTTATCAATGATCCTCTTTCGTTTATTGATGGTAAAATAGTTTTTAAGAATCAAAATAAGGGATTGATTAGTAAGTTTTATGAAGATATCAATGTGGTTAATTCTTTATTACAGTTACTTTATAAGAAATAAAGTTTTTATATAATTTATTTATCTTTATCTGTAAAATAGATAATCGATTGTATATCTTAATAAGCAACAGGGAATGTATCTAGTCCATCTCTTTCTACGTCTTCTGTTAATAATTCTATTGTTGATTTCATGTGGTTCTACTGGTGCTGAGAATAAAATTCCTTTAGTCTGGCCTTTTATTACTTTACTATCAAAAGGAAATCTATGAGGTTTTGGTCTAAGAGCAGACCTTCTTTGATTGCGACTACTTGAATTAGTTAGCATGCTAACTTTTTGTCCAGTTAGTTTTGTTACTCCAAAACTGTTTTCTAAATTATTTCCTGTAATGGGTTGGTTTACTTTCATTATATATTAACCCCTAAATTTTTTTATTTATATTATTACCCCTTTATAAACATTATTAATATAAAAATATCAAAAACTAAAATTATTTCTTTCTCCTTTTTATACTTTAAATTTGTTTTTTTATACTAAAATTTTTGTTATAATTGTATTTTTATAAAAACTCTAGTAATGTTTTTTAATTATAATTATCATTTTTATTAAAATAAAGTTAATAATTGATATTTTTAATAAAAAAAGTTAAAACTTATTTTATTTTCATTTTGAAGAATAAAATTTTATAAAGAGCAAACTGGCTACTCCTATTGTAACCACAGCCCCTATTAGAACACTTCTTGATTTAAAAATATTTGTTAAACATTTTTTTCTTACCTCTTCCTTCTCAACTAAACCAGATTCAATAACTCTTTCATTGTTTCTTTCTAGATCTGGACTAGTTTTTACTTCACCAATATCATTCTTACTGTTATGTGCTTCTTTTAGAAATTCATTGTGTTTTTTCATCAGCTCATTCATTTGTCTTTCTAATAAATCTTGTTCTTCTTGATTGTATTCATATCTATTTAAATTTTCGGGTTGTGTGCTCATAACTTTTTCCATAAAGGAGTGGGTGTTTGTTTTTTTAAATATAAATTTTTGATTGGTTTCTCCTTAAATTATTTTATTAAAATTTTTAGAATGTTCATTAATAACATTTTTTATTGATTTCTTATTATATTAATAAAATTTATAAAATGTACTAAGATTAAATGAAAATTGATTTGTTAATATTTATTAACTGATATATTCATTAAATAATGGTGATAAAAAAAAGAAGTGTTTTTTAATAACTATCAGTAAAAAAAATATAGTAAAATTAGTTTTGTAATAAACTTAACTAAATAAAAATTCAAGTTAATATTTGATTATAAATGATTTTTAAAGTTTTAACAGAAACTAAAAACATAATTAAGGAGAAAATACAATTTTATAAAAATTTATAAAAAATACACCCCAGACGGGATTCGAACCCGCGGCCCTTGGATTAAAAGTCCAATGCTCTACCACTGAGCTACCAGGGCTTACTTATTTTTGAAATATAAATTATATATTAAATTTTTACTAAAATAAATTATAACTACTAAAAAAGTTTATTTATCTAAAAATAGTTTTTTATAGTTAAAAAACATAATTGTTAGAACTAAGAATGTGTTTGTTAAACAAGGCGTATTCTTCAAATTCATCTTTTAAAAATAAATACCTTTTTCATTAATAATATTAAAAATTTAAAACATATCTAGAAACTGTTTAGAATTTTATCCATTAAAAAAATAAAATTTCTTATATTTAATACTATTATATTCAATTCATATTATAAAATTAATCTAAATATAAATTATTTTATATTATTATATTTAATTTATACTCTTATAACTCGTTATATTTACTTTTAAAATAGCTAACAAGCCCTGGTAGCTCAGTGGTAGAGCATTGGACTTTTAATCCAAGGGCCGCGGGTTCGAATCCCGTCTGGGGTGTATTTTTTATTATTAACAAATCTAATTATTTTTCTAGTTTTTAATGATATTTAATTTTAATTCATTATTAATATACTTTTTACAAACAATAAAACTATTTTTATATTTTTTTACTTTCTTATTGTTGAACTAATATTTTTATAATACTTTGTTATTATTAACTAATTAATTATCTTAAATTTAAAAGTAATAAAAAAATTTTAAACAGATTTATAATTCATCTTAAAATGTTTTAACAAAAACAAATTTATTTTCTAATTTAATCACAGTTAATGAATTAAGTTTTATAATAAATTATTTCAATATTCTAAAATAAAGTATATTAAATGATAAATAATTTACCTAAAAAACCAATAACACAAGAATAACTTTATATAAAAATAGGAGGTTTATATCCAAAAGGCATTATCATCTGCCCTTTAATAAAATATGATATTAAAAACACACCAAATATTACAACAGAAAATACATATACAGATGCTAAAATTTGAAATAATGTTAAATTACTAATAGTGTTTTCAGTAAAATTTAAAGTTCTTATTCTAGTATTCTCAAAAGGGTGTGTAGTAACAATTTCATCTAAGTCAGTTTCTTCCGTTTCATTAGAGCTAATTAAAAATAAAAAAATTATTAATATCATAGGGTAAAAAAATTTAAAATTTACTTTAAATTTATTAAATAATATTTAATCATAAATACTAATAATATTAAGAAACCAATAACTAAAAAAACATCAATTAATATTTGAACTGTAGAATATCTATAAAATACATTGCTCTTAATGTACTGATCCATATCTATAATAGAATCGTTATTATTTTTACCAGGACTAACATTATTAGTGATAAAACAATTTCTATCAGTAAGTGAAGAATTTTTAGAATCTTCATCAAAATTAAAAAATCTTCTTTTTAAACCACCACTTGATCTTGTTTGTCTTCCAATTGAATTGTTTTTATGAACCGATTCTTTGTAAACAGGTTTTGTTTTAATTTTAACACTACTTGTTGATGTTGGAAATGAAGAACTTCTTTTTAAACAAAAATCAGAAGAATCAACAAAACTTCTTTCATTTTCTCTGTAATAAAAATTATCAACAGTTTTTTTGTGTGGAATGATTTGTTTTTTTGATTTTTGTTTTTTTAACTTTCCTTTTTGACTATTTTTTTTGACTATTTTATGTTTAGGATGTTCATCAATGTATGTTTGATAGTGTGTATAAGTTGATGGTCTTGGATCAGTTAACTCATAACATTCAATTGAACTATCTTCTCTACACACAGCTGTCTTTAAAAATTTTATAAACAATTTTATTTCAAATATCATGGGGTTAAAAATTAGGTAAATTTTAAATAATTTTGTTTCTATTTTTATTTCTATAAATAAAATATTTATTTTATAGAATTAATTGATTTTATTCTATAATTATATTAATTTAAACTATATAAATTTATTAATATTACAAAAATAGAATGTTTAAATTAATAAAATCTTATTTTAAAAAACATTAAATAAATTCTTAAATATTAATGTTTTTATTATAAAAATTACTACTTAAGTATTTCTTTAAATTCTAATTAATTAAATAAAAATCTTATAAAAAAATCAAAACTAACTAACTTTATAAATCTAAATCTACTACAAGCTTAATTCTAATAAATTTTATAAGCAGTTGATTCACTAAACACATTCTTATCTATTAAATAACTTTATCTTACATTTTTATATTAAAATAAACACTTTAAACTACAAATCTTCTAATAAACTCTTTAACATAAATTTTATAATATTGTTTATTCAAAAAATGATTTATTTGACATTTAAAATATTTAACAGTGATTTACTTAAAAATGAAAAGAACAAATTTGTATAAAAACACTCAAATCTTTGTGAATTTGAAAATATAATAAAAGTTCTGATTATAGTAATTTACCCAATTAGTAATTTTTTAAACTTCTAATTTGATTAACCATGTTAATTTATTATCTGGACTGAATATTATTTTAATTACATGTTTCTTTAATTAATTTTAAAATATTTTTAGAAAAAATTTTTAAGTATACCCCTTTAATGATAAAAGAAATCGAAATTGATGAAAGAGAAAGTAAATATTCAGAAAATAAAGTTAAAGAAACAAACACTGACAATAAAGATACTTTAGAACGATACAGTATAATTAAAGATGTTTTTTCCATTTTAAAAGGATCCTGTATAGCAACAGTTATAATAATATCAGACTTATTTGCAGTGGGTACAAAATACTTTGATTTAAATCTTAAAGAAGAAGAAAAAGGACAATTTCAGATTTGTAAGAAGCAATTAGATACATTATCATTCATTCTTTATAATGTTACTGTTGTATTATCAACTTTTATTTATACTAACTTTACCGGTCTTAAAGCCTTTATATTTGGAACAGCAATAGCAGAAGTTAGATCAGTTACTATGGGGATAGCGAGAATTGTATTTGATCATATTTTATCTGTTAAGTATGATAAAAAAGTGTTTACGAATGATGAATTAAAACTATTGGCATCAGAAGTTGTATTAAATACTTACATAGTTTCTATGATATTTGTATTTTCTGTTGCTGTAACATTTTTTATCATTTTTAACTATAAAATTGGTAATTTTTTAAAAAAGATTCCAATATTAGCTAGAAATGTCTTTGGTAGTGATTTGGGTATTCTTTTAATTATGTTACCTCTTGAACCAATATTGAAGAAAAGGGTTGATCAGATTATGCCTAATTTAGCTGTTTTATTTTTAATGGTTCTTGTTATTTTATTGTTTGATAAATATCTGAATTATTTGTATGCTCCTCCTTGCTTATTAGTTATTTCTTGTTTAGTGGTTTTTATTTTTAAAAATAAAATTAATAAAGATGATAACCTCATCAACCAAGATATGTTAAACTTTTCTTTTAATGATTTTAGAAAAGTTTTCAGTTATGATGATTTTAAACTTTTTCCCGGTCTGTTGCCAAAATGTTTCACTCTTATCGTTAAAGGTGTTATTACTAGTATCATTCATTTTACTATTAATATTATGGTCTTCTCATCTTCACTTGATCCTGATACTGATATTAATAATAAATTTGCTATAGGTGGTATTGCTAACTTTGTAGGTGTATTTACTGGTATTCCTGTGTATGTCTCTTCAAGTAACAGTATTAACTTTAACGTTATTGGTTGTAAATCTAAATTGATTCCTTATACTACAATTATTATTTTGATAGTTTTTAATCTATTTATTTTAAATACAATTATTCCTTATGTTCCTAATCTTTTTCCAGATTCGTTTGCTTTGTACATTGGAATTATTTCTTTAAAGAGTTCTGTTATAGATTTTGTCAGAATTGGTTCATTGTTAGATAGTTTAATTCTCATACTGGGTGTACTTTTAGCTCGTAGTGATCCTTTGGTTGGATTCTTTTTTACATTTACTATAATAGCTGGTAAAACACTTATTGAATTTACTAAAAGTTATTCTAAAACCATGTCTACTCTCAAAGATGATAATTACATTAAGATCAATTATATTTTATGTTATATGTCTTTAGATAAATTTGAAAAAGATCTAAAGGATGCTTCTCCTGGTACAGTACTTGATTTAAATGATTGTTTCTATGTTGATGCAGATGCTAATATGATGTTGATTGATTATTTAAAGAAAAAGAAAATTACTAAGATTATCGGTAAACCAAGAAATCTTTATATCGATAAAATTTCGGAATTATGTGAAATTCTTTAATAAAGTTTCGTTTAATTTTTGTCTAATAAGTTCTATTTGTAATCTTAAGTTAAACCTTACATAATGATAATTTAATTATTTTTATCTTCACACTCGCTGTCTTCAATATCATCTTTAAATGCTTTTTTAAATAATTCATTTGCTTTCATACAATCTTTACTAATTTCTTTTAAATATTCTGCTAAACTTTCAATTTCTTTTAAAAGTTTTTCATCCTTGAAACATTTGTTTTTACTTTTCGTTATAAAATTTTCTTTAATTATTATATCAATAGATAATATTACACTACTCAATTTATGCTTAGGATTTAACAATACCTTTTTTGTATTTTCATCTAATTTTTTTAAAATATTTTTTACTTGATTTTTATATATTAATTTTTCTTCATGTTTATTTTTAATGTCTTCAATTTTTAATCTAAATTTCTTATTACGTCTCGTAGCCTTTTCAATAAAATTTTTTAATTTTTTAAGAGAATCAAACGCTTTCATATTTAATTCTTCATTTTGATTATCAATTTCTTTTTGAAAATTATTTTTTTCAAACTTATCATAAAATGATTTAAATCTTTCAAATTTCTTTAAAATACAATCATCAAATATTTTCTTGTTATAAACATGTGTAATTAAATCATCTAAAATTAAATTCGATAAAGGCTTAAAATTTTCTTTATCAATATAAACTAATTTACTAAAAATAAATGGAAAATCTATTTGATGTAAATCATCATATTGTTTAATAAATGAATAAATCTTACTAATATCATCCCTGTTTTCACCTTTTAGATTTTGACTAATAGTATGATTAACCATATAGTTGTGGTTTGTTTTCACATCCTGTATTATTTTTAAAACAGGCTTTAATCTTCTTATGATTTTCATAGAACACTTATTTCTACATTGAATTTTAATAAGGCGTAAATATTCATTGATTTTGTTTCTAACAAAACAATTTTGTGCCTTTAAGGAAGATTCACATTCATTTATAAGATCTAACATGTAGATATTAAATCCTATAACACAAATACCACAATAAATTGAGTTACAATATATTTCTGTATGGTTAATTTTATACCCAAACAAATTTAAAATTGAATAAACTGTCCTAAAAATTAATTTTCTCATAATAAGGGCTATTTTTATTTTTATTTAAAAATGTTTATTTTTGAAAATTTTTATGATTTATTACTGATGATTAAATAAGACTAAGTTGAATGTCGTATCCTCCAAAATGAGTAAATTGTTTATTTAAGTAACAAAGAATATTTAAAGAGATTTTGATTGATTTGACAGGTGATATATTTAAAGAAGATATTTTTTAACCCATAGAAATTAAATACAGGATGAGTGTAAAGTATTTAAGTAAGAGACAGATGGTGTTATAGATGAGTTAGATATAGAGAGTAGCCCTTACACAGGGAGTAAAAAAGATACTTATGGATCAATGGAAAGACTTAATAAACTTTGTTCTAATCACTCCTTAGGTTTCAGTATTGAATTATCGATATTCATAATTAAATTCAATATACAGTATTTACAACAATCTTTTCTCTATTAACTTTCCTTGTTTAAAAGTTCATTTGATTATTAATTATATATAACTTTGATTTTAATGTAATTTCAAATTTATATTTTAAAATATTTGTTTGTTAAAACAAACAAATTATTCAATTAAATCTTATTATATTGATTATTTCAACAAAAATATTTGATTTATAAAAATTTAATACAATTATTTGAAAAAAATAGTTTTTTGTATGAGTAAGTTATTTTTTCTTATACTTAAAAAATAAGAGATGTTTTGTTTATAATACTTCATTTGGTATTTAAAATATTAAATTGTATTGATGTTTAAAATGAAATTTATTATAAAAAAATAGAAAATTTAATAATTATTTCCTAAAAATTAATATTAAAATTTATTAAATTATTACGGTGTAATTTAAAAAAAGAATTCTATAAATTTTAAAGAATGAACTTTTTTTATTTTTCTTTACATTCAATTGCTTTTCTTTAATTTCATCTTCTAATTCATCTTCTGTTTTAGATAATATAGTATTGTTTTCTATAAGAACCTCATTAGTATTGTTATTATTTACAGATGATATTTCATTTTTTACATTAATTATTTCATTATCAATACATGCAATCAATTTTAAAAATATTAAAATCATTAAAAAAAATTAAAAAATAATATTTATAGAAACTTAACTAAAATTACAATTTACTTTTAATGATTATAATTTAATTCATTACAACATATAATTTTAAAAAAAGACTATCATCTTAAAACCTTAATTTAGTCTAGTTTTGATAAGAAATTCTCACAATAACTTTTTTTGATTGCTTCAGATAAAATTATGTTTTAATGATATTTGCATCTTTTTCTTGCTTATAGATCTCTTTTAGTTTTTAAATTCATCAAGAATTTTATTTTTAATAAATTAAATAGAATATTTTTTGTTTACCTTTAAATGAATTACTTAATTTGTATAATGGGAAGATTCTATGAACTTTATTTTTATCTTAACATACATGTATGTACCTATTACTTAACATTTATTGTAATGATTGGTGTGTTAGGATTAACTGCATTAGATTATTTTCTACCAGTTAAGATAGTCCTTATTTTATTCTATATATTATTTAAATATTGTAGATTGATTTACGGATTATCAATTTCAATTAATCTTGATTTAGACAAACAAAAATTTGTTAGGAAAAGAAGTGTAGACAGTAAAGATGATATTTCACAAATCAATGATTATATTGTAGAAAATTTTACCAATATGAACAAAACAAATAAAATATGTGAGTATTGTAAAAACAAAAAACAACCAAGAGCACATCACTGTAAAAAATGTCAAAGATGTTACTTAAAATATGATCATCATGATATATTCTTTAATCGATGTATATCATTTTATAACTATAAAAATTACCTTCAGGCTTTAGTAAGTGAAGTTGTTGCTTACATTTATTTTATAGTTATTATTTCAGTTTTTCTTCTATTAAAATCGAGTACTGATAGAAAATACTTATTTTATTTGATCGTAGTAATTTTATGTTTAGTTTTAAACTTTATTGAAGTTTGGTATTTTATTTATCAAACGGTTGTTCATATGAAATTAGTTGCTAAAAACGAAACAACAACTGAATCAATTGCACTCGATACCTATATTAAAGGTGATTGTACATATGTTTCTATATTTCAAGAAGGCCCAATTAAAACCTTTAGTTCATCAAAAAATAGAAACATTCTAAATCCATACAATCTTGGTTATTCAATGAACATCAAAGAAGTCTTTGGTGACAATTACATGGATTTTTTATCACCAGAATTTACATCAAAAGGTAATGGGCAGAAATTCAATTTAAATTGTTGAATAAACTAAATTTTTTTTCAAAAATTTAATCTCTTATGATTTTTATTACAATTTATTTGATATTTTTATTAATGTGTTTATAATTTTTAAAACTATTTTTTAATTAAAATTTAATACGATTTTCTTTATTAGAGGTTTTTTGATTTATTAATAAAAAAAATCTAATTTCATTTAACTTATAAATCTTTATTTAAATATTCAGAATAGATTTAATAAAATCTTTTGTAAATATTTTTATGAAAAATCAATTATTTTTAATAAAAACTATCTTTAAATATTTATTAAAGTTAGTCTCATAAAATATTTATTTATTCTTTTAATTGATGGATACAAAATGAATTGTTTTATATTATTATATAAGCTCAATATCTGTATTTTAAAGTATAAATTATTATTATATAATATTTATACATTAAAATTGTTATGTATTTACTGTAATGAAAATTTGAATGTAAAAAGATTTTAGAAAAATATTTACAATCAAATTTATAACTTGATCTACTATTTATTTACATTAAAATTTATTAATTAGATATTTTTAATAAGTTTATAATTCAATAACATTTAAAAGGTGTTTTTTATCTATTATGTCTTTGTATTTAAATTGATGTTATCTATATAATTTATCTTTAATAAACCTTTGAACAATATTTTTTGTAATTTGTTATATAAAACACGACACTCAGTATTAAATTTATTTATTAACAGTCATTTTATCATTAATCTGAAGTTTGATCAAAAATTATTCAATTAAAAATTTTTATGTAAAAATTTTTGACAGATTTTTATAAAAGCAAAAAATTCCTTGTAACAAAAAAAGATATAAAAACACATTTAAAATATCTTAGTGTTTTTTAATGTTTACTTTTTTTTAAATATATGAAAAATCGCATAAATAATTTTCAAAAATAATTACCCCTAAATGAGATTTTTTACATTGTTAATTAAGTTAATACTTTCATCAGAGTCTAATAGGAGATCTAACGATCCTAATAGTTATGCAAACACCGGAAGATTTATAGAAGATGAAAGAGTAGGGCACCAAAATTGGTTTAAAGAAATATTTGCTTATGTTCTTGTAATTGGTACCGGTTTATGTTATCCATTTGCTAAATTATTACTATATATCATTGAAAAGATAACTGGAGAAAAGTATTTGGATTGTTGATTATATTGAATAAAACTGTTAATTTTTAGATACAAGCAATATTTATAATTTTTTCCAAAGATTTTATATTTAAAAGAAAAATAATTTAAAATTGTTAATAAGAGAAGGTATTTTATATAATTACAAATAAGATTCTCTAAGATAAATAAACTTTTAAGAGAATTCAATGATAAATTTTGAATTTATAGTTGTATATAATCAATTATTTGTAAATGGCTTCATTTTAAACTTGTATATTTAAATACAAGTATAAATAAACTAATATGTTAATTATTTTTAATATAATAAACATACTAGTTTATTTAATTCTATTTTAACTACTGATTAATCAATAAAAACATATAATAATCTGTATTTATTCTTATTTAATTAAGATTATATTGTTTAATTAATCATTTAAAAAACATATAAAGAATTTTTATTTAAATGATTCTAGATTTTTTTAACAATTGAAAACTTATAATGTGTATGTTACTTGAAGTTATAATTAAAACAGTTTAATAAATCTAAAGAGACTAAACATAAGAATAGTGTTATTACAAAAGTAAGAATGATTTTTATTAAATTACAATAATAAATCTATTTCAATTTATTTAAATAAAATTCAATAGAAGTAAAATAAATAATCAATTTTGTAATTATCAAAAAATAATAAGAAATTTATTATTATTTTTTGATAAAAATCAATCAATTTTTTAGTAAAAATTTTTTATCAAAAAATAATTTGATAGATTTTCATAAAAAACAATAAATTTTTATGTAAAAGAACTCTTAAAGATTCTATTTTTATTTCAAAAGACATTAATTTTATGACGTGTTTTTTTTCAATATTCTTTAAATATTTTTTATATAAGATTTTCAGAATTATTTACCCTTAAATGTTGTTTCTTATATTAAAATAAAAATTGATAGATTCTTCTCGTTATTATGATACATCTGATGTTAATATTTTTTATAGATTTGATCTTTTCATTGAAAAATACATTCCACCGGGTATTCTTGCTAAAATATTAAGATCATTGGGTCATACTGTTTTCTTTTTAGCTTTTCCAATCGCTATGATTATTCTATTAATTTTCGTAAAGATCACTAACAGATGAATAAAATAATTTGTTAATTTTATAACAGTAACCTCTTCTATCATTTTTAATCTATAAAAAATTTGAATTTGTAAAATAAATTCTATTAATTTCAAAATTGATATTAAATTAACTTTTTTAATACACATAGTATAAAATGAAATTTAAAAACTGATTTTTACATAGAACAGAAAATAATTTGAAGTTAATTATTCAATTAACTGGTTTTTACGAGTTTTTATAATTATTTAATTATAAGTTAAAATTAGTATATTAATCACAACAAAAGGTTATCTTTTTTAATTAAAAATTTAGATTTAAGTAACAGAAATCCAATTTAATTTATCTTAAATTTCTTATATTCAAATAAATCTTTTAAATCAAATTTATTTTAGCTTAATCTTAATTTTTTCTTTGAAATTTAAGATTTATTCAAGTGATAAATTCATTTAAACGTTCTTATTTCTTTTAGATTGTTTTAATTTAAAATTTAAAAAGTAGTATTTTTGTAATGAAATATAAAAGTTAAATTAATTATAAATTTTATTTATTTTTATTATCATTATACGAAATATTAACATTAAAATAATAACTTTTTTATCTAATTTATTTTATAAAATTATAATAATTCAAAATTAAAGGTTTATAAATATAAAATAGATGATTTAAAATATAAAAATTTTAATATAATTGATTAATAATTTAAAAACAACTCATGTTTACTAATAAAAAGTTTAAAGTAATTAATAAGTATATTTTTAATATATTAACGTTGATTTTGTATTTAATAACTTTATCAAAAATCAATAATAAGATCTAAAATTAAAAAATATTTAACTTTTTAAATAATATATAAAAAACTTTATAATAAATTAATGTCTTTATAAGATGAGTTTAAATGATTTAATATTATATAGTTTTTATTTAAATACTTTTCAATTTATAATCAATAAAATTTAATTTTAAAAAGATAATAATAAACTGTTTTAAAAAACACTTATTTTTCTTTTTATATTTACTTGAGATAATGTAATAGTTTGACAAATTCTAATTTGCTGATATAAAGCATATTTTTGACTATTTTTATTTAAAACATATAAAATAAGAGTTTTCTGAAAATTATTTAAATTGATATCTATCAAGTGTTCTTATATAAACCAAACTAAAACAGTTTAAATTCTTTATATTATAAAATTAATAACAAAATTATTTATTTTAACTTAATTTTATTCTTTGATAAAAATCAATCAATTTTTTTAGTAAAAATTTTTATCAAAAAATAATTTGATAGATTTTCATAAAAAACAATAAATTTTTATGTAAAAACACTCTTAAAAATTCTATTTTTATTTCAAAAGACATTAATTTTATGACGTGTTTTTTTTCAATATTCTATTAATATTTTTTATATAAGATTTTCAGAATTATTTACCCTTAAATGTTGTTTCTTACTGTAGTAACTCTGTTTCTACAAAGGATTCGTTTTTAAAAAAAATTTTTTTTAAAAAAAATTTAAACATATATTTGTTCTAAATTTTAACCCCAATATTCAATGAATAAATTAGTAAACAACAACACTATTAACAACACAACAGATACAAGTAAGATTAAGTCTTACTTCACACAATATGTCATCACGGGTCGTATCCCTAGGGTAAAACACGGCACTTACATTAATAATAAAGTTAATAGAATCTGCTGATCCAAATGAGAGATCTATTTTTAAAGATATTAAATCATTTTTTACTACTATTTGGAAGTTTATTGATAATATTCTACCATCAGGAGAAACTTATGGTAGATTGATGGTAGATTTTATGATTTATTATTCTTTACCATCTGCATTTTATATTTTTCTATTATTGAGTATCTTTATATGTAAGAAAAATTAAAGTAACTTTTTAATATTTTATTTATATAAAAAATCTAATTACATTTTTTAATTTAAATGTTATCTATTAATTTTATCTGTTATTTACTTACTTGAAGATTTTGAGATTTTTTTATGGATGTTTTATTCCATAAAATTTTTTTATAGGCGATTTAAAATTAATATTAAACAGTTACAAATGTCTTTTAAATTACTTAATAAAAAAACATGTTTGCAGTTTTATTTAACACTAATTCTTTGGATCAAGTCTGAAATTTTCCCCCTGTGGGGAAAATTTCAGACTTAAAAAATTCATAGAAAATAGATAAAAAAACCATGTAAATAAAATATATAATTTTATAATT